GAATTGAACCGTCTCTCAGGACGATGAGGTGAAAAAAAATTAAACTAAAATGAAATTAAAGCAGGTTTGAAACTTCTTTCTCATTTCCTTAGATAAGCCCGAAAAATGAAGGAAATATTACATGCAAAATCGATCAACATCCAGTCGAATTCTTAATAGACTCAGGGGCAGCTATCAATACCGTCACTGAGCAAGTATGGAACGAACTTGCACAGCAAAAAAAGTTGTTGAATATTACATCGAAACTGATGCAACCAGGTCAATCCATCGGTTGTGTAATATCACATTGTACGATGTACATCGATTTTGCGAACAAAATTACATCCATTGATGTAATATTGTATCTACTTTTTGCTATTACATCATTATTTCATACATCAGCTTGAATTACGTTGATCGATATTACATTTTTTTTGCTGTGTGTAAATGCCAATGCGACCCTTTTTAAGAAAAGGTTTCAATGTGACCGCAAATTTCTGGCATATGCAAGCCAAGAGCCATTACGCGTTGTTGCAATATTTGAGGCGTGGATTTCGGTAAATGAATCCAAACCAAAAAATTATGCTGAATTTTTTGTCATCGAAAAGTCTCAAAAATCACTCCTAAGTAGAAGAACGGCGGAGGACCTTAAAGTCTTGAAATTAGGCCTTGAGGTTCAAAACATTGAGATTAAAAATGAAGCCTTTCCGAAGTTTCCGAATGTTGAAGTAAAATTATCAATCGACAGTCGTATCCCCCCGAGAAAAATTGCGTACTTAAGAATCCCTGTCGCAATGGAAGAGAAGGTAGATGAAAAGATATTGCAAATGTTGCGCAGTGATGTGATAGAACCAGTTGTGGGACCTCCGGAATGGATATCGCCCTTGGTTGTGGTCCCGAAAGGAAAGGATGATATCAGGTTGTGTATCAACATGAAGTATCCCAATGAAGCGATACAGCGTGAACACTATCCGCTTCCGATGATCGATACTTTCCTAAATAAACTTCGAGGATCAACTGTCTTTTCGAAACTTGACATCACATCTGCATTCCACCATATTGAGTTGCACCCAGAATCTCGCGGAATCACTACCTTTATGACAAGCAGAGGATTAATGAGATTTAAACGATTGATGTTCGGCATCAATTGTGCGCCGGAGATTTTCCAGCGAGTGATGTCAGAGATGTTAGCTGGCATTGAAGGTGTCATAGTTTATATCGATGATGTAGTCGTATCGGGACGAACTAAGGAAGAGCATGACGGACGGCTTCAGGAGGTGTTGAGCGTTCTGAAAGAGAATAATGCAATGTTAAATGAAGCTAAATGTTTGATTGGAGTAGCCGAGCTTGAGATCTTGGGATTTAAAGTAAGCGCAGCAGGAATCAGCCCGTCGGACGAGAAGATCTCCGCTATCCAAAATTTCCGAAAACCGGATACTAAGGAAGAAGTTCGTAGTTTTCTCGGGCTAATCAACTTTGTCGGCCAATTTATCCCGCATTTGTCAACACGAACTGAGGCGTTGCGTCAATTTATCAGAGGTGACGTTGACATCTTTGGCGAGGATCAGCAGAAGGCTTTTGACGATCTGAGAAATGAGTTATCGAACACGGTCCGCAGATTAGGATTTTTCGATCCGAAGGATCAGACGGAGCTGTACGTAGATGCCTCCCCGGTGGGTCTAGGGGCAGTTCTCACCCAGCGGAGTAATGGAAAGGCACCGAGAATCATAAGTTTTGCTTCAAAAGGTTTAACCAAAACGGAGAGAGTGTACCCACAAACGCAGCGCGAAGCGTTAGCCGTTGTGTGGGCTGTCGAAAAATTCTATCCATATTTGTTTGGTACCCGTTTTACAATATTTACTGACCACAAAACATTGGAATACATCTTTGAAGGAAAGCATCAGCAAGGCAAGCGTGCTTGTTCAAGGGCTGAAGGATGGGCGTTGCGTCTCCAGCCGTACGATTTTTGTGTGAAGCACATTCCAGGATCTACCAACATTTCAGACATCCTTTCGAGATTATGCGAACAATCAGAGCTACCCTTCGACGAAAGCTCTGAGCATTATCTGTGTGCACTAGGAGAGGGTTCAACAGCCATCGGTTTGCAGGAAATTAGAAGCGAAACGAGTCGGGATGAGGTCCTGAGTGCAGTAATAAAGGCAATCCATAGCCAGGACTGGCCATCGGATCTTTTCCGCTACCAAGCTTTTTCAAAAGAATTGGGTATCATTGACGGCATCGTAGTGAGAGACGATAGGATTGTCCTTCCGTCAAACCTACGGAGGAAAGCATTGGCAATAGCTCATCGTGGACACCCAGGAGTAGTCACCATGCGGCGGATTCTTAGGGAAAAAGTGTGGTGGCCGTACATGGACCGAGATGTCGCGGACTACATTCAAGAGTGTGCTGGATGCGCAGCAGTTAGCTCACAAGGCCCACCGGAACCCATGTTGCGAAAGGAAATGCCAGATCGAGCATGGCAAGAAATTGCAATTGATTTCTTCACGGCCAAAGAGTGTGCAACGTTCCTTGTAACCGTCGACTACTACAGCCGCTTCCTTAAGGTTATTGAGATGAAGGGCACTAACGCAGTTAAGACAATCGATGTCCTTGAAGCCATTTTCCTAGAGCAGACATACCCGGAGACAATTCGAAGCGATAATGGGCCACCTTTTTCCAGCGAAGAGTTCTCTAATTACTGCGCAAGGAAAAATATCCGGCTAATACGTACGATCCCATATTGGCCACAAATGAATGGCCTAGTGGAAAGGCAGAATCAAGGCATTTTGCGAACCTTGCGCATTGCTAAAGCAATTAATGCAGATTGGCGCAAAGCGATCCGGGACTATGTATATGCATACAACACAACACCTCATTCGGTAACGGGTAAAGCACCAATGGAACTGATGACCGGTAGACCGGTTAAAGATCTTCTTCCATCTCTGAGAACCGAGCCATATTGGAGTCGGGATGAAGAAGCTCGGGATAATGACGTGATCAAGAAGATGAAGGGAAAGCTTTACGCGGACCATCGAAGACACGCAAAACCGTCAGAGATCGACGTTGGAGATGATGTTATGTTGAAAAATTATGAAACCGGAAAACTCGAATCTAAGTTTAAACTAGACAAGTTTACGGTGGTCAAAAAGAGTGGAAATGATGCGATTGTCACAAACAAAGAAGGAGTTTTGTACCGCCGCTCTGTTTCTCATCTAAAAAAGTGGCCATCGGTGATTGACACTGAACTCGATCAGTCCACTTCAAAAAAATTCCAGTCTAGTGACCATTCGAATACACCAAAGATGGGATCAGCTGTAGCGATGAGCGATTCGACCACGGGAACAAAGCACACTGAGGATCCTCCTGAAGTGTCACCAGCGTTGAAGATAAACTCGACACCGAACAAGCGATTGCACGATGAAGTTGAAGAACGTGACATTTTAAGCCGTCCAAAGCGCGAGAAGAAGTTGCCGGCACGATATATTAATAATACAGCATAAACAAGCAGTAGAGGAGGAAGCTACGTTTATTTTTTTTTATTTTTTTTTGTTAGAGTAGAAAAGGGATGTAGAGTTGATAAACGTAAATATGGCAACCATTCTCCACCCCCGGAAGAGACCTATGTATATCGAGCGGGAGAATCAAAGAGAGTGAGAGAGAACGGACGACGACAAACGAGCGCCTCGGTGTAAGGGAGATTTATTGAGGCAGAAGCCGATGAACGATTGTTGCGACTGGTAGTGAATAAAACGGTCTGTTAAAGTTAAAGTGGTTAAACGAGTTTTATTGGCGTGTTCCGAAAGTGTTCCTTCTGGTGAATTTGATTGTTGCCTCCTGGAGGGACTCTACAGTTATATTCCCTTCCTTATCATATATTCAACGAATGTTGAATGTTGTTCTCTTTTACATATTCAAAGAAGGGAATATTCCCTTCTTTTTATATACGCGATTCCAGGAGTGACTATAATAAACAAAAATAGTCAATCTAATACATGGCAAACTTTTCTGGGCAATGGTACATTCTGGGGAATGGTTTTCTGGGGAATGGTGCATTCTGGGGAATGAGATTCTGGGGAATGGTTTTCGGGGGAATGGTTTTCTGGGGAATGTTATAGAATCCGTTTAACACTCAAAATTAAATCTTTAAATTAAATTGTAAAGTAAGAAAACAAGTGGCTGGCCCAATATATTCATACCAATGAAAAAGTACGATCAATTCTTTGCAATAATCACTAATGATTGTAAACATCCTCAACAAAGAAACATCAAAATAAACGGACCTGTGGGAATGCATGAAAAGCATATTCGATCGTTTGACTCCCCTAATAAACGGGTACCATATACTGACGATATCTTAGATGGTGTGACCATACCACATAAAGTTGGGATGATATCTCGAATTAGTGGTTAGGCGCATCTTATGGTTATTATTTATGCGGGTCAGTTTCTTACTTGATAAAAATTTATAGTTTATTCCGAAATTTACAACATATTGGTACAATCAAGCAGCTATATTGTCGTTCAAGTTGGACATCGGAAAATCCCACACACGACATTCGATTTTACCCTCGTTCTGTACGTTAAACATAACGTCGGACATAGTGCGCTGAATAGCGCATCATTGTGTGAATACAGCGCACTATGTCCGACGTTATGTTTAACGTACAGAACGAGAGTAAATTCAATTGGCGCGTGTGGGATTTTCCGGTTTTCTACTGAAACGATAATATAAACAAATAATGAGAAAGACACGAACGAGTTCGTTCACATTTTTGCTCTGAAAAAAAGCCACCATTTTGTGAGCGGTGTTGAAACATAATATTTTCAAAGCAAAATAACTTTGAAATTGAAATTGATCGACTCCGCATCACTCATCAGCTCCGCACTACTCAGGTGTGTAAGGTACTTTGGACTTGGGCTGGTTTTCTCCGAAACATCTCATCTGTCAATCCCAACTTCAGCAACTGTCACACTGTGGTGTTATTTGTTGATGTTCCAAGGAGAATCGAATTTGTTCGATTGCGTAAAAGTTCAAATCGTTGAAGCATGTGAAAAGTTCAGATGTTATCATCGTAATTGTTGAATATTCTAAATAGATCAGTGTTCATTGTTCTACAAATCCAGAAGGAAAAACCATCTCCAAACAGTAACCATGTCGACTATGCTGCCAAAACCGCCGAACCCCGATGAGAAGCCAAAAACAGATGCATCAAAAGCCGCCGGAGTATTCTTTCCCATTGCTGATTTGGATGAAATTGCGAAGCACTTTATTGGCAATAACACCAGGTGCGGTGCCAGTTCTTAAATTTCATGAAACTAACCCACGATGATTTTATAGGTTTCGCGAAAACATCATAATTCCAAGGACCTACGGGGCTGTGCAAATTAAAACCAATGAGGAGAAGATGGTAGAAGCGGCATTCGAAAGTTGCGCGTTCAAATCGCTGATGAGCTGCGTTTTAGGATATGGTTTGGGGGCCGCTATTGGATTGTTCAGTTCCTCGGTGAATCCAAACATTTCGGACCCGCTGGCCGCCGAAAAGCAACAGACAGCCCGAGAGATCTTCCGGGAGATGCGACAGGCCACCCATTCGTATGGTAAAAACTTTGCCGTGATTGGTGCCGTTTTTGCTGCCGTTGAATGTGTTATTGAATCGGTACGGATGCAGTCGCTGGTTGGAAATCTATTTCTTATATCGTGTAACGTTTCGTTTATTTTTTTTTAGAAACGTGGTGTCTCAGATTGGAAAAATGGCACATATGCTGGAGGTGTCACGGGTGGGTTAATTGGGTTGAGAGGTAAAAGTTCGCTTTGGAATGTGGTTAAGATAAATGTAATCGAAAACCTTTTTTTTTTTGGTTTCAGCTGGCGTCAAGGCTGGAGTTGTAGGAGCAGCTGGTTTTGCTGCCTTTTCCACTGTTATTGATTACTACATGAGACATCGATAGTTCAATGGTTTAGCTCAAGACGATAATAATAATTTAGTTACAGAACTTATTGGAAACGATAAAAGCTGCTATTAAGTTGTCAATAAAGTTGTGTCGCATAAACATGTAGGTGGAATTGTAATTTTCTTTAAAAACGGATATTTCTTGTTATCCCTTCTTTCTGTGACGACCATTCGCCTCCTTCCACTGAGTGTTGAGAAAATAAGCTTTTCCGAAAAGCTTCGGAGATCAGTAGCTCACGAGATTGACGCTCCTGTTCTCCGCTCTCTCTTATTTTCAAACAAAATTTGAATGATAAACATAGACACAATAATTCAAGCTGAACATTGCATTAGGTCCTAAGTAACATTGATCGATTCTCTTCGTCGACTTTCTCTTTCGTTAATAACTTGAGTATATAACCGTTTCTTGTTGTGTTTGTCGTATTAGATGCTAGATAAAAGCTTCTTTTTCCGATATGTGTGCTGAAAATACCTGAAAATACTACCCTTTAGATGGCCGTGGGAATACAAAGAGAAAGTTGACGAAGAGAATCCGTCAATATTACTTAGGACCTAATGCAATGTTCAGCTTGAATTACGATTGGAATTGGACGCTGTCGAAAATGAAGGTGTTCTTCATGCCTCAATTCTCGATTAACATTTCAAATGTTCCTATTTGCTTTGATCGATTCTCTTCATCGACTTTCTCTTTTGATAATCACTGCTATGCAAACAGATTTCGTGCTATTTTAACCACATAGTTTGATAAAGGAGGTTCTTATCTATCGTCCAAAACGTCAAATACAACAGGAAAATGTTTTGCTTCTGAGTTATCAATGAAAGAGAAAGTCGATGAAGAGAATCAATCAATGCAGATAGGACCTTTTGAAATGTTTATATAGAATTGGTAATCATCATTTCAGTGCCAACATTTCAAAGGGGCGTAATTGCATTTGTAAACAATGGCTTTAGCCATCGATTTCTCGCGAATAAAAGCTCACTCATGAAAAATAATGACACCATTAGGTAGAGGAATGTTTCCTCTACCAGCTAGCATTGTTATTTTGAAGAGGTAAGATTTCATTCGCGAGAAATTGATGGCTAAAGTCATTGTTTACAAAAGCAATTACGCCCCTTTGAAATGTTGGCACTGATTTCTAAAGAGCCTGAATTTATAAAGAGACGACATCAGATGTCGTCTCTTTATAAATTCAGGCTCTTTAGAAATCAGTGCCAACATTTCAAAGGGGCGTAATTGCTTAAGATTCTTATCAATTTGACAGGTCTTCTGCTCGATTGGAATAACTTTTCCTATGACTTTGACAGATAATCGATTGTTCCAATTTTGACAAGTCGCCCGCATAAACGCGAACCATAAATTGACCTTACCGAAAATGGTTAAAAATTGTTTATAATCCCTGCTAAACTTCAACTGGTTATGGAACTTTACATGAACGTTTAATGATAAAGTTTTAACCTTATGTATTATGGTTTTTTGGAAGCGGACCTTACAAATAATGAGTTGTTAAGAACCATTACCATTCAAAATTCTTCTTTTCTCCATCTATTTTCGGGAGGCGGACTATATTAGAACCTTTTAACTTATGGTTTGAGAACATTAATGGTTATGGTTATGGTAGTCAGTAAGGTCCATGAATTGTTTTGTAACATCGATCAACTTTATGTGGAATATATCGCGAAATGGTTGCCTGTAAATTACTGATTACCAATTCACGATATATTCCACGTAAAGTTGAGCGATAATACAAAACCATTAATGGACCTTACTGACTATCATAACCATAACCATTAATGTTCTCAAATAATATTTGCTTAACGACGTGTTCTGGGTATCATCCAAACCATTTGTGGAATAGTTCAATGATTTGGGTTATCGTTCGTTTATGGTTATTTTTTATTAGGGCGCTGCGATAATTTTATAAATCTTAATTTTTCGCTTCAAAAATATATGGAAGCACCAGCCGGATCACTGCAAACCCGATACAGAAAACAAAATATTCCACGTGGATGATGATTTCAAGCACCTGCGGTGGATAAATTAATCAGGAAAGGTGAACATATCAAGAGCAAATTTTCATTACGTCGAATGTAACAAAGGTAAACAAAGTCGAGCTATCAGTGTCAATCGATTCTCCTGCTATTACACTATATACTGTCCGAATATAGGATCAAATCCCATTTTTAAATTTATTTACCAGTCAAACTGCTTTTTGACGTAATCACCTTCCGATCAAAATAGTTTTCGATGTTACTTAAGTCACCCGATTTCTATAGAGATGCCGTTTGCCTTAAGTAACAGCACTGAGAAACCCGTGAAAAGTGTATTTTCGTCGTTTCGCTTTCTCATTATTAAAGTGAATAAATCGAACTGTTTGTTGCTAAGATGATTTCGGTGGTCCTAAAATGATGAATGGGCTGCACGTAAGGAGACGTAAATGATAATTCTCCCGAATATCCTGGTAAATACACTTTGACTTAAGTAATAATAGGGGCCACCAAACGACGTATAATAACTTTTGACTCAAAAACCAGTATTTTTTAGCATGAAAGCTAGCGATTTGCATTTGTATGATTAAAACCCTGCTAAAATGTTAAACATTGCTATCACTATGAGATTATATGTGTTTACTTGGAAATAGGAATAACTTTTCGGTCATCAAAACAAAACTTTATTTTTCTCGGATTGGTGCGAATGTTACTTACGACATAATGAAAATTTGCTCTTGATATGTTCCTCTTCGTATGCTTCACGGTAAAAATTTCCACCCTCATCACTATTTTGAGGGTTCCTCTATTCACCGCCAGAGGCTGAATCAATCGCTTAGTTTCTATTGGATTCGCCTATTTATAAGATGGTAAGGAGAGTCCAGCTAGGTGGCAACCCTATAGGCGAATCCAAAAGAAACTAAGCGATCATTTCAGCCTCTGGCGGTGAATAGAGGAACCCTCAAAATAGTGATGAGGGTGGAAATTTTTACCGTGAAGCATAGGAAGAGGAACATATTTTCACCTTTCGTGATTAATTTATCCACCGCAGGTGCTTGAAATCATAATCCACGTGGAATATTTTGTTTTCTGTTTCTGGTTTGCAGTGATCCGGCTGGTGCTTCCATATATTTTTGGTTAGAAAAATGAAGATTTATAAAATTGTCCCAGCGGTTATGATCTTCCGGATTTTTAATGTGTGGTTATTTCATCTGTAAATCAGTTCAGATCTGAAGATAATCGAAAAATAAGGCCACTCCCGATGGAAATTTGCAAGGTGTGCAATAAAATGTACGTTATTTTACGTTTTGAAAATTGTCATTATGATGTAATCAAATGGATTGGATGACATTTCCTCTCAAAATCAGCATGATGGTGCATAAAAAGAGCCTACAGAAACTAAGCGATTGTTTCAGCCTCTGGCGACGAATATGGGAACCCTCAAAAGAATGATGAGGGTGGGAACCCAACGTTGAGTAATATCATATTTGCCTGCTTTTGAGTACAACTAACTCACTTTTGGGTAGCAAGCGAGTGGAAAATTCCATACGAATTGGCGATTTAACGATCGCGCTCGTGGCGAATAGGAGAAGTAGAAGAATGATGATGGTCTCAAAATTTTGCACGTTGAGGTATAGGAAAGAAATCTTGAAAAGCATTTATAATCAAAAAAAAAAAAAAATATTTGTCATTTGTAAAAGCTGCTACGGGGGAAGAAACCTCAAAAGCTACCCGATAGATGTATAATTTTGGATTTTAATTTTTTTCTTAGTTTTCGTTTAGATCTTTAGATTTAAACTTTTCTAACATTGTATGCACAACCAAATACTTTATTATTTAAATAAAAGCGTTTTTTAAATATTCTCGCATACCTCACCGTGCGAAATTATGATACCATCATCAGCTTTATAGTTCTCCTATTTGCCACAAGTGGCGCTTTATGCTATTGTTAGATTGCCAATTGGAAAATCAAAGTTGGTACTCGTGGAGAATAGAAGAACTATGAAAGTGATGATGGTTTCAAAATTTTACACGGTGAGGTATACGAGTTCAATCTTAAAATGCTTTTATATTGCAAATGGAGCATTTTATTTAAATTATTTATCCACCGCATGTGCTTGAAATCATCATCCACGTGGAATATTTTGTTTTCTGTATCGGGTTTGCAGTGATCCGGCTGGTGCTTCCATATATTGTTGATGTGAAAAATTGAGATTTATAAAATTGTCTTAGCAGTTATGATCTTCTGGATTTTTAATGAGTAGTTATTTCAGCTGTAAATCAGTTCAGATCTGTAGATAATCGAAAAATAAGACCACTCCCGATTATTTTGAGTTTTGAAAATCGTCATTATGATGTAAACAAATGGATTCGATGCCATTTCCTCTCAAAATCGGCTAGCGCACTCTACAGTGCATGAAATGAGCCTATTACAAAATTTGTGGCTACATTTAATGGCTTTCAAATTTATTTACCTTATGTACCGTTAGTTCTGATAAGGGGTCGCGAAATATTCCTTTATTGTAGAAAATAAAAAACTGCTTCTGGCAGCTCAACTTGGCCTACGGATTTTCTTGGGCGTTTTTGCCGTTGAAACGCCATTGGGATTCTCTTTGGCCTATCGAATGGAGAGAAAAGTGAATTCGCATGCGCCTTCTGTACACTTCAAGTGCGTCCTTTGTTTTCGAGATCTTATTTTGCGTTCTTCAATTTGTAACTTTTTTGTAATAAACAGTTATTAACAAACTATTATTAACAGCTATTCAAACCATGCTAACACACAATTTCTATTCAAAACTGTCTGAACATGGACTCTAGATGGGAAATATAACCAAATTAGCTCTTTATTATTTTAAAATAGTCTTAATGCTTAAGGGGCCGGGATTACCCCAGTTCCCCTAGTCTCCTGCACTTTATTTTTTTTAGAGCAAGAGACCACGGTAGAGAGCGCGCATAAATTTAAGAGACGTGCAAAGAGAGCTCAAAATAAGTACAAAATAAACTCGTTCAATACCGTTCCAAAATCAATGGATGTTAGTTCCATAGAACAATATTATGCTTCATTGAAACTTTAAAAAATGTTATGTTTTTGAAAATAATCACATTCCGCATGAGCGCACATTTTTCATTATCACAAGCTCATAGCGCTCATCACACGTCTCTTTATTATTTTTTGTTTCCTATCCCTGGTGACGCGTCACGTGACTGGAACGATAAATACAATAGTTTTTGCTCATTCTCCCATCGGTGCTTCTGCTTCCGAGGAAGGATCTCGAGGGCAGGACTAAACATACTCATTACAGCTAAAATAGTACTTTTCGAAATTATGAAACTATGAGACCCCCTGACGAGGGGGGTGACTCTATCTACGAAGCTAAAAATATTGTGTTTTGCTGTGGTTAGCTGCGTGCACACTTAGTAGGTAGAAAGAAGATTGATGACGATTCTAAAGATTTCCTGCAAAAAGATGATGCGCGATGCAAGTAGATGCGAGAAATGAAAAAAAATTTTTTCGAAGATTGATTAGCTAGAGTGAGGTTTGTTGAGCATCTAGAATTCAGATTTAGATGTGTCGCCCCCTCGGATCCTGATGGCAAACGCGAAGAAGAATCCTGATCAGGAATCCAAACAGGGATGCCGATGAGGAATCCGAAAATTGATCGCTATTGAGAATTCAAAGGCGGATCTCGACGGGGAATCCGATGACGAATCCCAATGGAAAATCCCGGATCCCGATGGGGAATTCGATGACGAATCCCGAAGGGGAATCCGATGACGGATCTCGATGGGGAATCCGATGGCGGATCGCGATGGAGAATCCGATGACGGATTCCGATGGGGAATCCGATGATGAATCCCTATGGGGAATCCAATGACGGAATACGAGGAATCCGTAACGGATCCCGATGGGGAATCCGACGACGAATCGCGATGGGGAATCTGACGACGGATTCCGATAGGGAAACCCGGAAAATTTTAGTAGTGCATTAGGGATAGGACGAAAGGGAGGAAAGGGGGGTAATGTTTCCCCAATTTTGCGTGACATAATAAATGCATGGCCTCTAAAGAACAAGTTTGAAAGAATCCACAAATTGCCGTTTTCATGGCTGATTTGCCTTGTGAAATTAGCCACGATAGCAACCATTATGGGGTATTTACATATGTGCGAAGTGCCTAGCACGATTTTCAGTTGCTCCTGAAATCTCATGCTGGTAGACGCTGATGCCCTGTTTAGCTGGCTACCTTTGTGCACAGTGCTAGTACATTAGCCCTAGCAAATCCGCATAGATGTAAATACCACATTACAGCGACGACTCACGCTACTTGATGGACTTGTCAACATATAGGTGTTTTGGCTTTTGCGTAGAAAGAACACCCCCCCCCCCAAACGGGAAGGACGGTTATTCTGTTGATTACTCTTCACCATACGGGAACATAGGACCACTCACTGCGGCATGCGAGAGAGAGCTTCGAACCGGAACTCAGAGAGCAACCAGGAGGATTAATGGCGACAGTCTCACATCATCGCATTGGGTGGAAAAGCTTCACTGGGGGTAGCTCAGATGACTTTTTCCTTTGCCCGAGAGAGGACCTTCGTCGATAGTACATAGTGTAGATTTTTCCAAGCAACATTTTTCCAGCCTAGGTAAATTTGCTTGGGAAGTGAAAATCTGTCAGCCAAAAGTGAAAATTTTGCGGAAAACGTTCGGTGGACAGTGCATTTGAACTGAACATTTTGTAGATCGGATGCTCGTGAGAAACGAGCTGGTGGAAAAGGCACCGAATGCAGCAGAACATCTGTGGAAAATGGCAGGTGAACTGGCATAAAAGTTGACTGATTTTGACCAGCCCTGTGAAAAGTCGTGCAGGGAACAAAAAAAAAGTGGCAAAGGGAAATGGTTTATGGTGGTGGTGTCGGTTCCCTTTTGGCAGTCTGCGTTGAAGGTGAAGTTCAACTCCAGTGAAGCGATAACGGCAGAGAAGGACACCGTTCAATGAAGGAATAAGTGTAGCTAGAAGATTTTTCATCTGGAAAATTGCGAAGGGAAGCTTTGGAAAAAATAGAGCCGTGTATGGATTTGTGGAATTTTTCCTCCTCTACGCTCGGTCGATTTACCAGCTGGAAAATATGCTGGCAGCTGGTTGTTTAAGACGACGTTGAAGCTTTTGGACCTGAATTCCGTTTTGCGAGTGCGACAACCAGTTGGAACTTGTTAGTTTCGGGCCAGTGACATTCGAGGAGGGAGGATTAAAAAGTGGAAAAGGATAATTGATAGCCAGCAATATGTCAATCCAAACAGGTAATTTTCGGCGCTAATCAACCCTGATACATTCCAGTCAGTGGTCCTGTCGCACTTGAAATTTAATTTTATGTTCCTACAAGCTGTAATTTTGTTCCGAGTTTCTACTTATCCGTATTGTTTCTGTGCACTGTTATTTGATTTGTAGTTTGAGTTTACTATGCAAGGCTAGTAGCAGCTTTCCACATGTTGAATGTGAAACTTTTCTCACGAGGATATGGGTTACAATTTTAATAGCATCTGTTGTCCCAGATACATCTGGAAATGTAAAATAGTTAAACGTTACCGAGGAAAAGCAGTAACATGTACATCGTAAACAATATGGTGGCCTTTATTTTTTTTCGTTCTCGCACACTGATAACACGCCATCAGGTCAGTCGACTGTGGAATCAAGAAGGTGTGAGGGGGTAGGTAGTGTGGCAAAGGAACGTATAGCTGCTGTTAGAGGAAGGGTGCTAGATCTGGTGGGATGGGAAAATCGGTTGGCACCAGCGCCGTAGTAGGAGCGTTCGAGTAAACGGTTTCCCAGAAGCATCCAATCCTAGTACTTATTTTTGCGGTTATTGTTAATAATCAAATAAATTTGTATGTTAAACACATACTTCATTGTTCTTTGCTATAGTCTAGTTGGTGGTGTAAAACACATGTTAGCTATGATTTTACAGCAGCACAACAAATGATGATTATGATCGGAAGTTGAGCAGCAGTTAAAAGATGCATATTTTATCATTTCCACAAAATTGCAAATTAAGCGTGGTATAATGTATCGTTTGTTAGGAAACACGTTTTAAAAGTACCATTTAAATTAACTTAATAAAATATTGAAGAATTTATCCTTAACAAAATCATAAAAAATAATTCAAGTGATCAACTTCACTTAAATGATCAAATTCACCTCGGTTTACGGTACTTCCTGAAACAACAGTGACCCAATAGGACTTACGAATGGTGTCAGTTGAAGTTGGAGAGGTACATGCTCGGGTCAAGAGATTCGGTATTAGCTTATGAGTTCATCTACCGTTCTCCGCCGTGTCCCATTCCTTCGACACCGCGCTGCGCGTTGCGGCAAAGTGACAGCTAAATCTATTGTCTAACTGTCAAATTTACGTCAACGCAACGCAAAAGTATCTAATGTGGGGGAACTTTTACCGTTTCCCCTGGTTTCCTTCCGCTTGTAGCACTCGCTGTACACCGCCAAGGTTATGCTGATAGGGATTATTCCGGCGATAATACGGCTTCCTACAAGATGGTTCTATACGCGCTCACGACTCACATGGCCATTAGCCTGAACGCACTGCTCCACTTCACTAGCCAAACATACACTAGACAGAAGGCGCCTCTTGCTGTTGCTTGGTCTAGAGTTGGTCGGCATGATTCTAGCTACCACCATGTTGGCTTTCGCCGCTTCCTCACGCACGCACTTCGAGGTTATAGCATATGTACTCTCCGCATCCGACTCTGCCTTCTGCATCGTTTTGTAAGTTACTGACCAATAGCATTTCATTTTTGTGGTGGGCTATCTGCAGTTTCACTCCTTGCAACCGTTTCGATCGCCTCGATTGCGAGCATTTTGTCTTGTTCTCACTTCTCGTTTATTATCTGTTAAGACAACGTCGTCAGTAAAGCCAATGATCTCGACACTTTTGGGCTGCTTAAGCGTCAGCACGCCTTTATACATCTCGTTCCATGAAGTAATCCTAATCGATCTCCGTCCCATGTTTGCCTAATACTCCATCTCACGGTTCTTGAAGTAACTCTTCAGAATTCTGAAAAGGTAGCCAGATTATGCGCAACGCGTCGGCGATGTCTTCCCAGGTAGCGCTATTGAATGCGTTCTTGACGACTATCGTAATCACGGCGCGATATAGAATTCCCCTCAGTTTGTTGTTTCAACGACTTCTCGGCTTTTTCTATACCTGTCCTTATTGTATTCACCGACAATCGATCCGACAATCGATGGTCAGTTACCGTACATTTCGTCAGCCTGCTGAGGTAAATCCTTCCCAGTTGTTTTCCAAGTGTTTTCAGCAAACATCTTCTGGAGGCATTTCTGGTTTCGGTAGCAATTCTAATTTCTGTATCTTCCAGACCTTCAAACCTTCAACTAGACATTTCAGCAGCACCACCCTGAACATATCCTGGAACGCCTGGATAGTCATTTGGGATTCCATCTGGACCGGGCGCTTTCTTCACATTCAAACCCTTCAACACTGTTCGAGTTCCTCATTGCAGACTTGTATACACACTTACAAATTACTACCGACTTCAGTGAACTGTTAACTGTAAATTTCAACAACCGAATTTTTGATAAAACTTTGACTCTCATTTCAAAAGCTGTTTACCAAAATTTTAATTTCAAAACACTGTCAGCCTTGTTTAAATAATAGAGTTTTACCATTGTGGTGAAGTTTTCGATATAAATTTTCTCATTTTTCCACAGTTTTTTTTGCCCGCTGCGTGCCTCTTCTTCTTGTTCCTGTTGGGTCGCTTTCTAGAATCATTTTCACTGGGTCGTCATGCGGCATTATTACGACGTACCCAGCCCACCGTAGTCGCCCAATTTTTGCAATTTGGACGATGGATGGTTCTCCCAGCAGCTGGTGCAATTCTTAGTTCATTCGCCTCCTCCACGTTCCGTCATCCATCTGCACTCCACCGTAGATGGTCCGCAACACCTTCCGTTTGAAAACACCAAGGCGCGTTGGTCCTCCACGAGCATAGTCCAGGTATCGTGGCTGTAGAGGACCACCGGTCTAATCATCGTCTTGACGATAGTCAACTTCGTGCGGCGGCGAATCTAATTCGACCGCAGCGTCCTCTGGAGTCAAAAGTAGGCACGATTCCCGAGCAAAGTCGGTTAACAAAATGAAAGCAAATCTATATTAAAGTTTGCAGTTCCTATCATCATGAAAACTCATTTTGATTTCAATTGTCATGACATTAGTCTGATACCATATTGTGCTTTCATTATGCAGTCAAGACTTTTTAAATGAAAGCAACTTAACTTGAAGTTCTGCTGTTAATGTCTTGTTTAAAATTTAATTTAAGCTCATCTGTCGTTGAACTAACGCCTATTGTTTATTTGTTTTGTTTAACACTTTTTAGATCATTCGTTATTTGCCCGGGGTGAGATTTGAGCTCAAGTCTTTCAGCGTGAGAAGCATGGATGCTTATGATTTACTCCAGGCCCGTATTCAGTTAAACATTATGAATGCAAAATCAGAAACTAAATTGATTTCATTGAAAGCACGATTAGTTTTCCGTTTGATTCAACAGTGTAAAAGTTTGCTCTCATTTTTGCTGTGTTAACCGTTAAGTCAACCAAAATGAGATCAACTGGAGTATTCAAAATAAGTTACATCATAACAGAAAATTTTGATTTCAATTTGATCTCCAGCTTTGCTCGGGTTCCCTACCATAATGCAGCTTTGAATATCTCTGCTGATATCATTTTCGGTGGTCACCAGTGAGCCCAAATACACGAACTCATCGACCACCTCGATTTCTTCACCGTCAATCTGAACTCGGGGCGGGAGGCTAACATTGTCTTCCCTAGAACCTCTTCCTCTCATGTATTTCGTCTTTGTTGCGTTGATGGCATGAAAATTCCACCAAGATTTCGATGTCATCGGCGAAATCAAGACGCTGAATAGACTTCCTGAAGATCGTGCCATTCGTGTCTATTGCAGCTCTTCTTATCACAGCTTCTAAGCCGGTGTTAAATAGTAGACACGAAAGTCCATCACCTGGCCGTTATCCTTTTCGAAATTCAAAGGGACTCAAGGCTGCCTCCGATATATAAAAAAAATGTGCTAATACTTTTGTTTTAATATTTAGACGTTTTTTTACCCTAAGTGAAGTTTTTGTGCATACAAAGATCCTTCTTTTGATACTTGTCAAAAATTTTCGGGATATAACACCACTGCGACCAGTAATTTGATCTATTGTGTCCATAGTTTATAGTGCATGTCGTATTACTCCATCACTATTGAGAAATGATGAAGATTCGGTTGATACAGCCTTCATCGCAAGGAATCGATTCAAATTGAAAGGTCCCGCTATTTATACCCTTCGAAGAATTAGATTACCCTCCAAAATTGGAAGTCTTAGCAACAAAATTAAGCAATGACACCGGTAATGATCATGCATTAGAACCCTACACACTCAGAAATAACTAATTTTACACGTGACGGAATCCGTCTTTGACATAAAAGATGAGACGTAAACAAACATGTCATGTAAAATTAAGTGCTCTGAGACTGAAAAGTTCGTTGCTCTACGGAAAGTACGTTTGATTAAGCTATATTTTGCGTCTATTATGACTCAAATTTATGTCAAAATTGACGCTCGTATATGTCACTCTCAGAGCACCTAAATTTACATGAATTTTTCTAAGTGTGTAGTCTTAACCACTTCAAACTATGGAACAACAAATTGAAGATTAGGAATCACATAGGGGAAATGACAGCTTCGGCATGCCAGACTATTTTCGGCAACCCAAATTGAAACACTATTTTCACTGGATTTTCTTACGAAAACACTTCGCTGAATGCATGCAAACGATTCTTTATGCTTTCAGCTTCAATTTGACTATATTTTTACCACTGAGAAAAAGCAATCTAGCAAGGTTTTCTTGAAATGAAACACACGCACTACAAATTGTAGCTGATTTCGAGTTGCCGATAATAGAACAGCAGATTTGCATGCAGTTCAAATGGAACGGTTGCCGAATAAAAACTGGTTGCCGACAATACTCGCTCTCACTAGAGAAGATTGGAGCTTTGTAAAAGCGTTTCAAAACAGTTTTTGACAATTCTTTCGACTGAAATTGTTAGAGCAGCTGGCAGCAAAAGATTGTAAACAAACCAATACTGCATATGTGTGCGTTCCTTAGAGGAAAAGGCTATAGAAAGAAGGTCGCTGCTTAGGTTGCCGACAATACGTAAATTCCCCTAGATGAAGACTAACTAACTCATTTTTTCCTTGTTTCAAGATCATCC